GACTACGCGCTGCGAATGGCTCAGTCATTCCTACCTACGGTACACGACAACTCGCGGTCAACCTGGGCAACCGACGACGGTATCTGTGGACGTTCATCATTGCTGATGTTCCCACAGCCATACTAGGTATCGATTTTCTACAGCACTATGAATTGCTTGTCGATTCACGTAGGCTGCAGCTAATCGATACTTCGTCGAACAGCAAATTCATGGGCTGTAAAGCCCACATGAACGCGTACCGAATCCTGGGCACTTTTTATTCGCGTGACGATAAATTCCACGCTTTATTCGAGAAATTCCCCGTAATCACTAAACCACTCGAGGAGCTTCCATCGGTGACCAATCGTGTGGTACACCACATAGTCACCCGCGGACCGCCAGTCACGGCACGACCTCGCCGACTGGCACCGGACAAATTAGCTTTTGCTAAGCGTGAGTTTGACAATTTACTAGCTACTGGTATTATTCGTCCTTCTCACAGTCCATGGGCCTCTCCTCTACACATGGTGCGCAAAAAAGATGGGGTTAGTTGGAGACCATGCGGCGACTACCGAGCTCTAAACGTAGTTACGCGCTTTGATAGCTACCCCATCCCCCACATACACGACATCACGGCATCGCTCAAGGGCACGACTATCTTTTCTAAGATCGATCTGGTACGAGCATATCATCAGATCCCGGTCGCTCTTGAAGACATCGAAAAGACTGCTATCACGACTCCTTTCGGTTTGTTTGAGTTCCTACGAATGCCATTTGGATTACGGAATGCTGCTCAAACTTTTCAAAGGTTTATCGATAGCATTGTACGAGACCTCGATTTTGTTCACGTCTATATTGATGACCTGCTAATCGCATCATCAAACGTAGATGAACATTATCAACATCTTACGCTATTATTCCAACGCCTTTCGGATAATGGAATAGTAGTTAACCCAGACAAATGCGAGTTAGGTAAACGAGAAATCATATTTCTGGGTCATGTTATCAAGCAAGAGGGTATTCTACCTTGTGAGGACAAAGTGCAAGCAATAAAGGAGTACAACGTGCCGTCCTCACTCAAGGAACTGAAGGCTTTTCTCGGTTTGGTTAACTTCTACCGTCGTTTCATCCCACACGCGGCAGAACGGTTACGACCACTAACCGACTTACTACGCGGCAACCCACGCAGATTGGAAATGAACGATTCTGCACGTACTGCATTCACTGAAATCAAAACGGCTCTTGCGCAAGCCACTCTTCTCGCCCATCCCGATCCATCAGCCACGCTTAGTATAGCGGTTGATGCATCCGATGTTGCTATAGGAGCAGTCATGCAACAAAACATCTCCGGTAGTTGGCAACCTCTCGAGTTTTTCTCACGACGCCTCACTACCACGGAGACGAGATATAGCGCTTTTGGTCGCGAGCTGCTAGCAGCCTACTGCGCCATCAAACATTTTCGGCACGCAGTAGAAGGACGTCGATTCATTTTATTCACCGACCATAAGCCCTTAACGTATGCTTTGCATACCAAGTCTGACCGCTACTCACCACGAGAGTGCAGACATTTGGACTATATCTCCCAGTTCACGACAGACCTTCGTCACATCCAAGGCAAGTCGAACTGTGTTGCCGATGCTCTATCACGAATCCAAATGAATGCAGTTACCCTGCCGGTGCTCGATCTTCCTGCTATGGCCGCTGCCCAAGCAAACGATCCCAGCTGTACAAAGCACCACACTCTACGTCTCTTCAGTATCAGGAAGTACCTCTAGCCACGACTTCTGGCACCATTCTATGTGATACGTCTACTGGTCTTCCTCGACCCATCGTACCCTCTGCTTATCGCCGTCTCGTTTTCGATGCCCTGCATGGATTATCTCACCCAGGTATCGCAGCTACATTACGCCTCATCGCTGCACGATACGTCTGGCCGTCCATGAATAAAGATGTTCGTATGTGGGCTAAGCAATGCTTACAATGTCAACGATCAAAAGTGCACAGGCACGTAGCCGCCCCCCTCGGTACATTCGCTACGCCTGATGCTCGCTTCGATCACGTTCACTTAGACATTGTAGGACCACTGCCACCATCGCACGGGTATGATCACATACTCACGTGCATCGACCGCTTCACCAGATGGCCCGAAGCTATACCCATCACGTCTATCACGGCGGAGACAGTTGCTCACCGCTTCGTAGAACGATGGATAGCTCTATATGGTTGTCCCTCGACTGTCACGACTGACCGAGGACAACAATTTGAGTCCGCACTATTCTCCTCACTTACTCGGCTGCTTGGTACGGAACGAATACGCACTACCGCCTACCATCCAGCTTCAAACGGTTTAGTTGAAAGGTTTCATCGGCAACTTAAAAGTGCTCTTCGAGCACACGAAAACGACGACTGGTACGAAACCTTACCGCTCGTTCTTTTAGGTATCAGAACGAGCTTAAAGGCAGATATCCAATGTTCCGCCGCTGAACTTGTATACGGCACGACATTGCGTCTGCCCGGGGAATTCTTCACACCACGGAGCAGACCTAATTTCGCTAAATCAGACTACGTCCAACGACTGTCTGCATTTATGCGAACGCTGTCTCCGGTGTCAACTCGAATACAACATCGACAGGTCGCTCTCCCTCGAGAGTTATCTACCTGTTCACATGTTTTCATACGAGTAGATTCGGTACGCAAACCTTTGCAACAACCTTACGAAGGCCCTTTTCGCGTGATCGCTCGTCACGAAAAGACCTTCAAGGTTGATCGACACGGCCGCGTCGAGATCGTCAGCATTGATCGTCTCAAACCAGCACACGTCGATGACAGTGCCCTATCTGATAACCTGAGATTCAATGCTAGACCTAGCAAACCTACTAGCGGGATCCTCAAACCATCTTCAGGTCCCACGCTAGATGCACCTGAGACCTCACTCTCACGTCCCAGTCAACAGCACGCGTCATCTGCACCGTCTACGGACGAGACGACAGTCTCACGTCCAGATCAGCAGACCACGCCGCCCTTGACTTCGGATGAGATTGCAGGCTCACGCGACGCGAACGAGACTGCCGTCTCACGTTCCGGTCGCCGAGTACGGTTACCCGTACGCTTCCGCGACTAGTCGCACAGTCAACAACCGATACGGTGTAGGATTATTCCTATACTACACGCATGCTACACTCTTCTCTTTTTTGATTTTCTTTTTGTTTCCTGAGCCCACGCCTTCGACCATCTCCGTTTGGTTCCGTCGACTTCAGTCAACTTTGGCGAAAGCTGGCCTGATCACCCACGCTCTTGTCAACGTACTCAGTCGATATATTGCTTTCGAATGCTTGGCATACGCTTGGTCTCGAACTTGGTCGTTATGGTCGCTTCTGGTTCATCGGCTCAACGTGGTTTCGTCCTACGTCTGCAGCGTTTCTGGTGCGCACCCCTACGAACGCCATCTTCAGATTCTGGATACAAACCACTCTGGTGTAGCATGCCAACTCAAACAATAAATACAACACATCGCTCCTGGTACCGTTCTCCGAAAACGACCTACGTTGGCAACTCGACGATCAACGATCGCTTTCCTGTTCGCCAATTCTTCCGTCCTACAATCGCTCGTCAGCCGATCAGTCCCACGATTCAAACCGCTATTTATCGAAAGTGTAAACCCTTTCTAGCGGGGGGCTCCTGTAGTGACTCACATTTATCACGAGAACACGACTGGTTTAATAAAAACAATTATTATTATAACCAACTGTACCAGTGTTTGTTTTAATGTGCTTTTGTTTAACTGTGCTAATTATAGCCATTTTGTGCTTCCATTACCTTCCATCATTGTTCCGCGGTTTTTGGTACTGTTCGCACGTACTCCTGTCTTCTGCTTCCACTTGTACCACTTCTTGGCACGATCTCGGTATTCGTTCAATACCACGAGATCGCCAACGAAATAAATCTGGTTACATTCAACCTCGCCTTCTGATTTATCTGGCACGTGTTTTCTGGTAGCGGTGTTCACAGTTAATCTCAACTCGACGCCACGCTACATACATTTAATAAACAACTACCAACATCCATATTCACCACCATCATAATAAAGGAGGTGAATAAAATGTAGAAGTTCTTAGAGCTCATTTTTCCATAAAACTCTGATTGTGGTCATATTTTGACTTGGTAAATGGTGAATTTCACTTGATTGGATTTGCAGTGTTACGTATAACCATATTAGGTTGACTAAATATTCATCAAGGTTGTTAGGAACAAATACGTCAAACTACTAATAAACTGGAGTAAAAGCCATGAACCAAACACAAGCATTACGAAAATTGACATGGAACGGAAAATTGCTGTTAACACCTGATAAATAACGAAAAACAATGTCTTTCACAGCATGTAAAATGTGCGCAAAAACCCCTGGCTTAACGTCCTGACCGTCATCATCAGGATAATACTCCTCTTTTGCACAGCGTGCGTAAATGAATGACCATGACATCTTTTGCTTCTGAAGGATCAAAACAATTGCTACTCCTTCTTCCGCTCACCTACTTGGGTGATACGTTCACCTACGTTAAGTGAGAGTTATGTGGAATCTTAGTTTATGTTGAAATCACTCCTCACTGTAAATGTCTAGCTTCTATTATTATGTCATGTTGCCAAAGCAAAGTAGGTACCTTGTTGATTTTATAGAACTGTTGGAATCAGTTTCTTAAAATCAGATGCCGATATATCCAAATCCAGAGAATGCAACGTACTCGAAACATTATGCCGTCAAATTCAAGTATACACTGCTAGATTTTATTGGTCTTATGCCTTTTCATTTCTAATTCTTGTAGTATATGCATTTTAAGCGCTTAAAGGTTGTCAACTCACTTTTTTCTCTGTCCCTTGACTTGGTAACCTTCCTTGTTCATTCTGCACTGCACGTTCCATCAGCACCCAAACTATTCCCAAATCGAACGTTAACAGCTAAATATTTAATGGGCTTAACAAAGACTGAACACTACATATTCGTGATTCGTTTTACTACGGTAGTTTGAAGGACAGACTAAAGGTGGGCAGATTCTACCTGTGAGCTTAGTGTATTGTCCGTGGGGTTGGACTGTGATTTCAGATAAATAGGCTCACCAATCTTTTCAATAACGAAGCTTTTTAATATTCATAATGGTAATCACCTTTTCGTTTCGTGATATTTTCAAAGAGTATCTTAGCGCACAATGGGTCTGCTGTCATTGCAATGTCTGGCAAAGATTGCGCAGCTATTGCTTGTGATCTTAGGTTTGGAGTTAATTTGCAGACAATTTCCACTGACTTCACCAAAGTTTATCCTCTCGGACCTCGGCTGTACGTAGGGTTTCCTGGATTAGCAACTGATAATCAGACAGTGTAAGCACTAAAAAATCATTAATGTTGTCCACCAGGTTTCAGCGTTTGCTTTTCCGAAAAAACATGTACGAGCTACGTGAGAATAGGACAATCAAACCTCAAACCATAACTACCATGTTATCTAACTTGCTTTACGAGCGCAGGTAATGTTACTTATAAAGTTACAGGTGTAGGTTTGGACCATACTTTGTCGAGCCAGTAGTCGCTGGTATTGACCATACTACGAACAAACCATACGTTGCATGCATGGACTTAATCGGCTGTGTATGTGAGGCCAACGATTTTGTTGTTAGCGGCACGTGTACAGAACAAATGTATGGGATGTGTGAAACACTTTGGGAGGATAATATGGTAAGTTATCTCATTTTCTAGTTTTGAACATGCTCACTGTAGTGTAAATGTTTTATCCACATTAAACACATCTAGTTGACCGGACTATTTTGTAGGTATTTGACTCCCATTTTGTTACACAATGTATGATATGACGTTTCGGTTCAAAACAGCAAGTAGTGTCTAGACTTGAGCAAACTTATCTTCTTAAACCGTACCTCTACCTATTTTATTATATTCATTTATTCTCATTCTGTAGTCTTACGTTTTGCAGCTACTTGAGTCAGTGTATTTTGGTGTCGAGTTATGAATTAATGCCATCTTCCTGTGTATCACGATTTACTCTCCAGTCACACGTATGGATGCGTCTAAATTACCCATACGCTTTGAATGGTTAACTAAATAAGTAGAATATAATAAATCTAGAAAGATGGATTGTGTATGACTGTTAGTGTCAACGCTACTTTTCATATACTCCTTTTTTTAACGTGGAGCGAAAGAAAATAAAGTGGCTTGGCCTCATAAGTTACCAATTATTCACACGGAGCTTTTAGGACCACTTCTATAATCTTTGTCTAATACCTCTAAATTATCGAGTTTTGTAGTTAACTTTGTTCGGCACGTTTTTGAAATCTGCACTTTTTGTGCCAATCCGTCAATCATATGACCCTAGGTTCTACACTCCTATCTCAGTACTTTTTTCTGTTTATATCATCCTAGCAAAATGTTTGTCACTTAATTTCACTCGGTATGCTAGAAAATGGACCAATCTCGTCAAATATTGTGGTGCATAGAACTTTGTAGTCAACAAACTTAGCCTTTCACTCGTCTAATTAGCCAGGGATTCATCTGTACTACAATGGTTAATTAAAAAACGCTATCCCAGTTAGTCAAACAATCCCCCTCCGGTCACGATGACTACTGTCCTACTGAATGTTTCTGACCCATTAGTCTCAACCTACCTTAATATGGAATAAACTTCTGGATCCATCTTTCTTCTGATTTGAAAAACTCGGTACTACTGGCTTTGCACAACTGTTAATAAGTGTTTGCTTGTAAAATTCCTTAGGATTGTGTGTAATCAAAACGGTATTGGCAGACTCCAGCTTAGGCGAAACAGCCGTGTATGTCAAAGTCAAGCACTGACCTCTCTTGTTGTTTGTTTCAGAATTCGAAAGAGTTATTTGAGTGCATTTCACAGTGCATCTTGAATGCCCTCAATCGCGACGCTGTATCTGGTTGGGGTGCCCGAGTTTATTTAATGTAAGTCATATTACTTTTTTTAAATGACACGAAACTTATTGCTAAGAAGTACTATCCTGGTGAGCTTGATCAGCTTACCAGTCAAAGAGTAGTATTTCGTAACGTGGCGATTCACGATAAAAAGTAATAAATTTCAACAGATAAACATTTTCGACATGACTAGTGAACATTTACATGAGGAATTTTTTACTTTACTACGACAAACGAAACGGCTGAGCATAAGTATCTGGATTAAAATAGATGGGTAAAAGTTGGGGTTTGGAGTACGGTTTGAGAAGGTTAGAGTTAAGAGTTAGTGTTTAGAATTACGGTTAGAGTGGAAAATACTTTTTAGCCATACAAAACATTTTTAACTATGCCTTAAATCACGTCAAGTACGCTCAACAAACACTTAACGGTTTAAGTAAAATCTGGATCAAGTATCTTTTTGTGATTTCGCTTACATGCCTCTTATTCACTTTGCGGTAACACGGTAGACAAGTTTGCCAATTTTAAGCATTTTAAGAACTAAATATAAACAATTTATATTTGGTTTGTAATAGGGTAAAAGCTATCAGCTATTGTGTTTTAAATTTTGCCTACGAACACAACATTTATTAGTCCGTCAGTAAATCATATTTTTACTAACTTAATATTCCTTGTTAGAGAAGCTTCCAAAGAATGTTTTGATGTCTTAGGTGATCTCAGTCGGCCAGTCATCTACAACATAGGACCAGGCACATATATGCGTCGGTCCAATTGGCCATACCTCATTAGCCCAACACGATGAACACCAAATTCATAGAAGTAGTTACTTTGATGGCAGTAATAAATAAAAGAAAGATTCTGTATAAGGATATAATACAGAAAGAAAGAAATTTCAATCTCACGGTTTAAAGGAAGATGAGAAGTGTACACACCTACTCACCGTGATTGATTCTGAGCCATATGACCCAGAGTCTCCAACCACTGGTTTCGATAGTGGTGTGAACTCCAACCCAGTAATCTGCATCTAATAACATGGTTCAGATCAGAAGTTAGCGACTTTATGGAATAATGCCACGTTTTGTCTTGGCTGCCCCTAACTTCCATACATTTCCAACACTAGTCAGCTTTGCGTGATGTGGTATTCGGTGGTCGGGCATGCGTAATACGTGACCCAACCATCTCAACCCATGAGGATTCACAACCTCATCAACTGGTTTGCCATCATTCCACAATACCCTGTGTCTAACCTCACTTTTACTTACCCAGTGATCTCAGCAAATACGAATAATATTTTTAAGACATATGTGATCGAACATTAGTAACTTATCAGTATCCTTTACTCTTAATGGGCACGTTTCAAAGCCGTAAAGTAGAACAGAACGGACTGCTGCACAATATACTCGTTCTTTAATAGACAGATATATTCGCCTTCGCCATAGGTGACGTAAGTTGGGAAAGGTCAAACGAGCCTTTTGAATCCGTACAGAAATTTCGTCAGATACCAATCCAGTAGGGCTGATCAGACTTTCAAGATAAGTGAAGTCGTCAACGCGTTCGACTACCTCACTCCCTATCCTTAGTTCAGGTGTTGACGCAGACCAGTCCTGAAGCAACAACTTGCATTTAAAGAGAGGGGAACCGCATCCCAAACATCCAGGCATTGTTGCCCAGTGCTATCAAAAGACTGCTTTTAATCAGCGTCTTCACCAAACAGGACTATATTATCTGCGTATTCTAAGTCGATAAGTGGATCTCCTAATAGGAGATCAATTCATGAAATTCAGACGACGAGAGCGTTATTCCCAGCAGTAGGTCTATGATGAAATTAAACAAATTTGTAGTGGCAGTCTTGTCGGACACCACTCAAGGTTGCGAAATCAGATGACAGTTCACCATAAGCTCTGACTTCACTAGTAGTGTTCGAGTAAAAAACCTTTGCAAGGTTTATGTACTTCTGAGGTACGCCTTTCAATGACAAACACTGCCACAAATCCTCTCGGTCTATCAAGTCGAATGCTGTGAAGAAAGACCACCATTGTCGGACACCAATAAGCATGTATGTTCTAGGATCTGACAAATGGTGAATATGTGGTCGATGCAGCCACGACTAGGTCTGAAGCCAGCCTGATAATCTATCTGAAGTCGACCGCAGTATTCTTATATCAAGTGTGTTTGCAACTGATGTTATAAATTGTATGCAAGTATTTTCAGTATACAGAACATTTGTGTTCGTTTTAAGCACGGTCTCACTGAACATATATTTAACATACTGCTGACAAAAACGGTTTTGAAGCCCAAAAGTTGTCTCTAATACTCTGGGTTTGAAATCTTAACTAGGTACTTGTTATGTAACTAGCCGTGTCCTCGAAATTTTGATATACAAAACATTTAAAATAATATTTAGTTGTCACTAAATGCTAATCAGATATTGGCGCTCTCTTGTACCAATATTCATGTGTTCAAATAAATAATAATAATCAGATATTGAGAAGCTGTAGATTGATCGTCAATGTCGTGGGCGCTAAGACAATTTCTAAAATGGTGTCGATTGCAAATCAGATTTGTACAAAAGTTTATTGGTGTTAAAAATGTTTTCCCGAATGAAAATCTAAAACAGGAGTTATTAGTGAATATCTAGAAAGATAAAATAAACCACAGCCAGAAAATTGTACAAATTTCCACAAAACAGTAGTTACCATGGATAACTGTATGGTTTAATCCAGTTAACGATACACTTTCCCCATCATTTTTGCAACCAACTTTTCGGAGTGAGGGAACTATACATAAGCAGGTTTATAGGCAAAAAGGAATTGAGTATTACCCAAGTCATGTGTACATATGCATGATACTGGAGTGATGTAAACAAATATGTAGACAGTGACCTTGGTCACTGGCAGTAAGGCTAACCATTTCCGTACTTTTCTACTTACCATGTGTTTGCGATCGGATTCGGTCTGTTTGGACTAAGGAAACCCATAAAACCATATTAATACTGACTAATAAATGGATTTTATTCACCTAGATTATAAATCACCAGGTAAACTAACACGATATACATATATAACTACATCATATAGGGTACCATTGCCAAATGATCACAAGAATGTTAGTGTTAGTTTTGTGTGAAATTACAAGTTCAAGCTTAGGATCTTTGAGATTCTACGCTGAAAGTATTGATTTAAGTAATAAAACGTTTAACCCTTAATCCACTGGTTAAGACGTCACTTTCATAAGAACCTATATAACGTTAATGCTGTAGGGGCCAATAGGTAAGCTAATATAATGTGCGAAAAATGTAAACCAAAAAAGTATTTGATGGGGAACAAGATTTCGGGAAGTGGTGGTTTTTAGCAGATAACTGTCCCATGTATAAAATTTTCAACGCCTAATAAGTAGAAAGTATATTGTATCCATCAGTATGCTTGTAAGAGTCAAACTTCAAATATCCTACTAATTAGTTAGTTATTCAACAATAAATTAGATTATCACAGTCACACATCAAAATATGTAATTCTGCCTATCATTAATTTATAGCTAATCAAGGATTCATTGAGTGTCTTTGTGGTTCTCAATTAATATTTTCTTGAACTTATGTGCCATGGTAACTTGAACTGTAGTAGTGTTTATTCATATGATACAGTAATAAATAGATCTCTATGCTTCTAAGTTTTGTAGTTTTAAATCCTCGTGAAATATGTTTCCTTTCAGGATCGTAAAACTCATTCCTTGCAGTTTGTACGTATAGTAGCTTTTGGATATTTTCCAATCACTCAGATTCTTGAAGACAATAAAAAAATCATTATTTGATTGTCTCGTCGTCTACTACTTATCATGATACTTTTCTTGCTATTTAATTTTCCAGAGAAAAAGACGCAGTCACGATTTCCGACTTGAAAATGCGTATGGACTAGGTTAATGAAATATAAGTTACATATTTTGCTTGTTATACTCTGTTTTTTTATTCACACTAATTTGTGGTACAGATTTCCACTTTGCATTTCCTTACTTCCAGTTTTCTAAGAACAGTGTAAACAAAGATTTTTAATGTGGGTTTATATGTTTATACTTTGCATTGAGTGGTTCTAAGACATCACTATTGTAGGATCGCGTTTTGATCAGAACGTTGGGATTCGCCGTTCACTAATTTAGGAAATAATGACTGTTTGATTTCGAAAACGCTTATAGTTTAATTGTGAAGCTAAAACTTAGTGTCCTGATTACCCCGTTTCAAGAAATCCACGTATAAACAAACATGTCTTGACGGGAACATCGGTCGGGTCCCATCGATTGGTAGAAAATAATTAAGTATAAAATTAGCAGTAAGTCTTAAGTGGCTCGAAATTTGACTCCATGTAGATGGTTTTCTCATACACATAGTTCCCTTTATCATTTTGAAAAAAGCAAGAACAAAGATTCTAGCAGAATAACATGAATTCATTTTATTTCGTAGGTTCTCGTCATCTGCTTACAACCTGTGGTATTTAAAAGATAAGAATTACATAATGGGTTTAAATTGCTTACATGAGAGGGTTTATATTGAAGAAATATTCGTAAAGTATGACATGGGTGTAAATGAAATTAATAGGCTGAATATTGTAAATATATACCTAATGTGAAAGAATATTCTAGAGCAGTAATCGTGACAGCAGTTCAAAAGGGTTAGAAACAAACACCCGTCATACTTTACGAATATTTCTTCAATATAAACCCTCTCATGTAAGCAATTTAAACCCATTATGTAATTATTATCTTTTAAATACCACAGGTTGTAAGCAGACGACGAGAACCTACGAAATAAAATGAATTCATGTTATTCTGCTAGAATCTTTGTTCTTGCTCTTTTCAAGATGGTTTTCTGCTTGTTATTGAAATGTACATTCCACCGATCCTCGTGTATAGTCATCCACTTAAATCGCATTAGTGGATAACTGAATTAAATAAGTCAAATAAGAGAACGAATTGCGAATACATGTATTCCACACAATCGTTGATCAGAAAGCAAAACAAAATGGCGCAATGGAGAAGACAAGTGAGTCGATTCGATTTACCCAAGCGTGACTCAGTATTTATAATCCGACGAAAAATGAGTTACAGACACACATACGACCATACAGAAAGTCGGTCAGGATTAATAAGCGAATAATTGGCAGGGTAAAAATATGGCTTAAGAATGAGTAGATTGATCCTAGACTTTGGTCTAGGATAACATGTGGGCTCGGCATAATACCAGCCCTCACAAATCATACCCGCAACACATGCTATCAACTCCATCCTATCATTGAGGAAATTAGACCTTCATTGAATGGTCGTAACACTTAGTTTAAGCCGCAGTTTAGCATCTAGTCATCTTTTGATAGCAAAATATGACTGCACTTAACATTGGTATCGTTTGACATGAAGAATTAAGCTGAAATATAATTGTAAGTGTAGTCGCCTCACGATAAACATGTAAAGATCCAACACTTCATGTTTTGCAAAACAAAATAACAACAACAGTTATTCCCAGAAATCTATGGTACATCAACCTATAAGGTTATAAAAATGAAGATACAGTACCTGAATGTTGTTTCAGCAATGTTCGGCATTGTGTATTATAAATTTGAAACTCAGCTTCTTACCTACAATCTACATTATTAAGAAATGAAATAGACGGAAAGTGTAGGTCCTTAAATATTTCACATAACAAAGTAACGTCTAATCCCATTGATGCACTTGACGTTCAATAAAATCGTGTTTCCTTCGTAGTGCGTATTTCGATGGAAAGCATAACATTATGTGATTAACTAGGGCTTATATCTCGGTCGTTCTGATATGACAATATTGTACATCGCTAAATTAGACATTTGAATCTTAAATTTTGGATAGCGGAAATTGAACCATATTTTGTTTATCAGAATGTGGATTGTCAGACTGCATGTTATTACGGTTACAAACTATTTTAATGATTGAGTTCAATAGGGTTGAGCATTATTAGACGATAGTAAGAATCAACGTGGAAGAGTCGTTTACAGTTTATTTGGAAGAAACAAAGTCAACTGAAGTATACACAAGTAAAATAAACTATGTACAATATGGAAGAAGGGGATTTATCGATCATCGGTAGTGATGGGAGATACGGACATTTGACTTCAAACAAAAGCCAATCACTTAATGTTGATAGATTCAACGGAACACCGCAACTTTTCCTGGGAAAATAAAATCACAGTAAAAATGTAACTATACGGAGGTATTGGTATATAGATAGTAAGATATATACTTGGTGGGTAATTCTCCTAAAATAATCCATAATCATATGGAGACTGAAACTTATAATACGCAGGTTTAATTGACTTGGCTATGGACGACACTTTATGTGAAGAGTAATGATAATAACAGGTTTTTCAAAGTAAAGAGAAACTGTTACTAACTGATTAACGTTCAATTGCGTTAAACACCAAAATATTCAGTGAACAAATGAGGGCCACATCTGAGATGTACAGCCTTTTTTACACCATCCGTTCAAACTACTACAGTAAAATGTGTGACTATCATATATTACTAATAGTCTTTATGTCAGTTAAGATCGCAATCCCAGTAAAACTGGAAGCCGAATAGCTGCTGATACAGTGTTGAGTTCTGGTCCGCAGATCTAAATTTCAAAAGTTGTGTTATGTAGAACTGTTTTAGTGGAATCGGCCGAAGAACATGTATTTGCACTGATATTTGTTATCGTACAGACTTTAGTAACCTGTATATTGAAGAATTGTAAGGATTATATCGGTTAGTTTCAAATATGATATTAATCAAGCTGTTCGATCGACTTAACTAGTTCCCAAATTAAAGGGAATTCTCAGTTGACAAGGTGACAGAATTATGACAACAGGAATTAGTATTTAAATATGCTAAGCAGTGTAGCTTTGAACCAATAACAAATATTTTAAATAGGATAGTTACGATACAGTTAATCCTTTCTTTACTCTCGGTATTATGCCTTCTCTTTGGTGTTAAGAAATAATTATTTACGTCTCACCAAATTTCATAATTGTTAATCGGCCACTAAGTGAACACTCCAGACAACCAACTATATATATATATATATATATATATATATATATATATATATATATATATATATATATAGCGAGATATAGTAACATCAAATAAGCTTGCGTAAAACACTTAGGATCGTTTCTTCTAAGGACTGGTAATACTATTCTGAGGGTTAAAACCCAGTGAGTGGATTGACGTTTAAAACCGCGGAAAACCTACTGGAAGTAAGGTACCTAAATCGGTCAAAATCCCTAATTAGGTTTTACAGTTATTTTTGGGAAAACAACTAGAATATTCAGATGATAAATTTACCATACAACCTATAGCGGTAACCTGTGGAAGGTTTGGGATTGGGTGTTGCATACTTTTGGGTGGACATACGTGAGGAAATTGAAGTATATTGATATCTGGGCAATTTTCTTTAGGACTATGGAAATATTTATTATTGTTGAGATAATACCCTATTACCATACACGAGCTGGGCAAAGAAAATCAAATGTATCACCCAAGTACTTACGATAATTGTAGCATTTGAGTTTCCTACAGTGAGCTCATTCACTGTGTTTATTTGAGCAGTCCCCAGACTTGTTGTACATCTTAAATTAACTCCAGATTTCATATCTAACAGCTTCTTTTCAACTTCATATGCTCCATCGGCGTTTATAATTCCTACAACAGATACAAGCCTTGGTTTATGACATAAATGTGCTAATTTTTTCCTTGTATGGGTAATGATTATTGGTACCGGCGGGTCACATTCTTTTGCAAGTTCCCAGATCTGACAGAGTACTTTTTCCAATGCACTAAGAACTATCTTATTTTCAGCTTCCTTTTCATCATATGTAACTGAAAATTATAATAAAAGGACGGACTATTTGATCGAAAAAGCTCACCAATATAAAATTACTGAAGAGAATTAGTCAGAATGTTGAAAATGCTTTCAGAATGCCACCTATGAGCGACTATTTATTAGTCGATAAGCTGTACGCCATGGATAGTAAGCATACATTAACGTCACTAAATGATACTGATTGGTTTCATTCAATTCATGATAAAACCTTTCGCTCGAGAGGGAAGCGGTGTGTTCGTGTGGGGTGATTACCGCAAGTGTTAAATATGAATCTGTACTGACTAACCACTATTTCTACTAACATACGTTTACCTACTATCCCGTTGGAATCGGAAGCCATTATTTTACTTAATACATATTATTTGGGATAAGTTGGCACCGAAAATACAATGTACCACACAACACAAACATATAGCTGTAAAGAAAAGAAAAGCGGAAGTAGTAGAGCCGAGAAGAACTATCGGTAATCAAGATTATTATATAATGGAAGAAACAGTTCAGTTAACAATACATCTGAATAATACTCCTCTCGGTTAAGTCCGTTTCATATTTATGAATAATGTAAAGGAAAACTATTTCAGGCTGACCAGTGGTTTCTACTTGGATTAATGTCCGATAAGGTTTCAGGTCAATGAAACCCATCGTATCTCGGGCCCTAACCAAGGAGTCGTGAAGGACCGACGGGCGCCAGTCTTACACAGCTTCCTTTCATACCCCGGCACTATATCCTAAAAAGGCCACCTCTTCGCTTTTTCCAGTCAGTCCCAGGGTCCGATGTGGAAGCCGTCGAGTTAACATTCGTAAAACATGTCTGCACTACGAAGGCCGATGTTTCAGGATAACAACACCAATTGAGTTATCACTACTGCGCTTGGACAACACTAAACAACAGCATTGTCACTGAACATCAACAGCACTTCAGAGACAATGATCGAACACAGAGAGTCGCTTAACATCTTTAACTTGTACAGCTTAGGTTTTCCAATCATGGAGCAAAACTACCCTCATCGACTTTGCAAACCCGACCTCTTATAGCTATACTAACATCATGACAGCAGCAAAGATGACCTAGACTAGCATAAGCCATTCTGGCTTTTACCATACGTAAATTGATCTGATCACTTAGATTATCAGCACTAACGCAATCACCCAAACAAATTTTTCGATTACTTTTAATGGTCCGCCACCAGTAGTGAGTGTAAACACGAACTCCTGTTGGACTTGTAGAAGTACTTTGCATTTAAGTGTAAAGTACATCCCATTCCTAGGGAAATTGCCAACTGATGAATTACCACATACATAGCCTGGGTACCATGTCAAACCAAAACAATTTTACTCGTGTAATCAAGATTTCGCAAACATAGAGCAGAGTTGGCCTCACGATGTGACATGATTCCAAACTAACGTCAAAAAGGTGTCAAACAGATTAGCAATCATCCGGAACAAAATCAATGCGAAACGTTTCACCACCAAATAAGTTGTCATAGCCTAGAAAGTATGAAGAATATCTAATAAGAAGATTAACGACAATTAGAGAAATATCCAGAGAGAAACTAATCTTTGGTATCTGTGATCGCGAAACCATATTCAGGTACAATAACATATAAGATAGGTATTTATTGGTCTTCGTTTGAGAAATTTAGGTTTGGAGGGGACTAAACGTACAGTTTTTATTTGTGTACTAAAACCCAGACAACCTCGCGGTAACTTTCCGATAATACAGACATGAAATGTTCAACATGAATCTAATTAGGTGGCCACGGCGAGCCTAAGTATTCACCCTTCCTTCTTCGACATCATTGACCTTAAAAGCCATTGAGTTTTCAACTAAAGAAACGTTTATACAACTAGAGACTAAAGAGTATTACTGAATAATTACTAATACTCACTTTTATCTTGCCATAAAATACTGGTAGCATTTCCTTCAAGATCGCGAGCCACAAAGACAATTCGCATGTGTTTTAACTTTAAGTGTTTGATTACTTCATGAAAACCACAAACGAGTCGCTTTGTTCTCTTGAGATGAAAGGGGTTATTAGCGTGGGTTACATATGCTCTGTCTTGGAATGTAACCAATCGTGAAATCAACTCACTCACAAGATACTTTTCGATTTCCGATGAAGTGGGTTCTTTTAGTGAATTATTAAAGCTATCAGGAGTACGGAACTACAAAACTGAAACTATTGAATACATCAGTTACCTCTGTGATTTTCGTCACACTAGGAGATTCAGTGGAATCAAAGTAATTCCTACAGGGGCTGGAAGTGAATGACTTCGCTGACTCTTGCGGATAGCGCGCTCATTCAAAATAGAGCGTTTAAGAGGAGTATGTCGCTTAGTTCTAATCACTTCATGTGGTTTACCTATCCTTTCAATATGCTTTTCGGAAAGAGCTTTCTGACGTCGTAACGGGGTTGTGACTTTCGATTCATCATCCGTAATTATAAATTCTTCCAATCCTCTTACAAATGGGGAGTTGAACTTCATACTATTTAAAGAGGACCTTGGGATTTTCAAATTACAATTAGATACTTTCTTCGATTTCCTGTTGCCAGCATTTCCAGAAGTCATGCATTTATTTGTAATGCTGATGTGAGATAATTCCCTGGTCGGTGTCTTTGCACGGATGACTTGTGTGGATTTATTACTTTCTTTCAGTGTTTTGGGAACGGTATTACTGACTTTTGTCCTGTCAATCTGTTTAAGTGTTTATTATTACGAGATAGTATTGTACGTGAGACATCATCTATATCAGGAAAGGAGTGTGACGACGATGGTGTCTGAAGTGGAGCACCACTACACTGGTTCCCTGATAAATGAGGTTTCTTAACATGACTCTTTTCGTATTTGTGTGGAGCTTTAATAGGTGTTGCATAATCCGACTTTTTCGACCTTTCGTCGCCTGACGTTCTCCACATGTATGTTTGTACTCACGGAACTTTCATTAAATGGTTGAAATTAACAGTTACTCTGATACTTCTTTATGCTCGAGAAATACTGGTCAGTCGGAGAATGAGACGTGAATCAATGTTTGAGTTGTCCTGCTTGCAATGGAAAAAAGCGAAATAGGTGTGACAATATAATTTTCAAATAAAAAACTATAAGGTGGTGTTCTTGTGAAATGTTTGTCGGAAAATGTTATTAGTCTGCTTTTGTACATCTGATTATCCTACATTAACATGGTAATGTGAGGGTAAACGAAAAACAATTTGTCGAAATACACATAGTTTCAAATATGCATGCAAAAAACCAACAGTCAATTGGTTTAATAAAAAACCTTTACTATGATCTCATAATAACACAGTTTCGTAAACCTTGTAAGAATGAAGAGCACTATAGAAACTTATCACGAGTAAAATAAGGTCACATGGTAATCAGCAAAATGCATTTACTTAGTTTACTGTTAGTGTTTCAAAACAGATGGTGATGCCTATATCACACAACGTACTTCCCGACGTCAGACAAATTCGAAAATTTTACTATAAACGGAGAAATGTATATACAGAATTTGTTAGGTTTTTAACAGAACTAAATTTATTCAGGAAGAACTGTATCCCAACAGCCATAGGCAGTTAAACTTTCGAACTATTCGATTCGGTGTGTTGAAAACTTACAAACACTGAAAATAATAAGCTACTGTTCTAATAAAAGTAAATGTGTTTACTTTCAAGTACGGGATACTATTTCACAAAAAAATAATCGTAATTGATGGCAATCTCAATAGTTTTTTACCAACATAAGTAATAAAAGGTTAAGGGAGGCATAATTGATATTTGAGGCTTGGTTAGTCCGTAAACTCCCATACTGGTTGTATCTTGACTATTTATTGTTTATTTTGTAACTCGTGTTATTCTTTCCATCAGTCGTTAAAAATTCGGCAGGACTGAGTCGTCTATATAAGACCCTTTCAAACAAATTATTTTCTACAGTGATGACAGTTGAGACTTGTTTAAATAACAGAGATAGCCGTAGGAGTGAAACACCGCATGAGATAGAGCAGTGCACGTGTGCTAATCCCTTAACGGAATATTGATAGGTTAGCAGCTTGTTATACACGTGATTCTCTACCATTTCTAGTATTACAATAACTCTCGTTTCCCTTAAGCATTGCTCCAATGTTTTCAATAATTGCACGGAAGAAAAGATATATTCAACTTGACTTTTCGTTCTCTTTGCATAGGCAGATAAATGTAAGATAGAACGATGTAGAACAGAATGACTGTAGGACCTAACATGAGAACAGTAATATTCCAGCTAATTTTTCGGACTTACAATGGGATCCGAAACTGTATTAAACAAAAGTATGATTGTAACTTAAATACAGTAGATATATAAAATGTAGTACATCGACTACTCAAAGATGTAAGAACTTTAGTGAACTATCACGAACAAGTAAGAGCAATCCTTAATGTATCATTTACGGGTTAGATAACAATACCTTGATATATATTCCAAAAGCAACCTTACATCAACTGTGATATTAAAAGGGGTCAAGACGATATAGATTTAAGCAAATTGAGGGGGGTCTAGTCCCCTTACCATTCATAATTACTGAATTTTATCTCCAGTAGGTACTAATACATTAACAAGGAAATGTTTGTTTAGAACCAAGTGAATTTATGCACTGATGTTGCCTATTACGTTAGGGAAGAAATACATGTGGATTCTAAAGTTTATACTAATAAAGTGAGAATTTAGAGTAGGTGGCAGAGCTGAACTATAAGTGATCTTCAACGACACGCTGAAGTCCAAGGCAAACGTAAAAAAAGAAGTAAATCGTCATAAAACAATGAAAAGATTTTTGACCATTCAGCTGATAAAAAAACACGAAATATGTATGAACTATCATTCTAGGACTATAACTAAGGATTACAATTCTGAGTTAGTGTTCTCATTATGAACTGACAACAGCTATATTTTAAGAATGCTTTGTAGCCATACGGTTAGTTGAATTTTTCGTAAAAATCCATAGTGTAATATCCTATTTATTTTCGTAAATGAGCATATATATGGATGAAAATAGTCTTTCAAATGATTAGGGCCAGTAAGATATTTGTAATACTATTGGATATTAATACAAGGTTAAGACTGAAATAACACCTGAAATATTTGCTTACTTTGGTGATTAAAAAGCCCAACTTCTAAAACCTAGACCTAATAAATTTCACTGTTTTATAACACTTTTGGTCCTAACAGGATTCAAGAAGTTACATTACTGTCGTTCGGAGTTCATCGAGCTACTTTGGGACCAAAAGCAGCCCTGAAGGGTTATTCACATAAAACAGTGTTATAATTATTATGCATGATATTGATAATAGGGATCTATCCCGTTTTATTCCTAGTCGAAAAGGGGCAAACGGTTTGTTGGAAAATAGGCAAACCTAGCGTACATTGAGCTTTCGGAATGATGTATGAGACTACTTTGTACATCCCCTTCTTTTTGCACAGTAACTGCGTAATTTCATTTGTGCTGGTACACCATGTCCTCTTTTGTCGAGTATTCACTGACTATCGTCTGTTGTTGCGCTTTATATCTCTCCTATATCCCAGTGGACACTGTTTACTCATGTTACACAGATGTGAAACGCGAAGCGCGTAGTAACGAAGCGGTCTAAAGTGCGGACTTGAAGCACCATTCCGAAGGAGAGCAGTTTGGAATCCTACCTCCATCACCACTCGCAACACCTGTAGCACTGACATACTTGATGATAAAAGGAATCAATAAAAATCAGAAATAGTATAAGCGTGAGATTAGGATAAACTGATATCCGAAACTTTAGGTTGTTCGGATATCGTTCAAACCGACCACAAATCCTTGTCATTAGTTTAATCCTAAATGATTGGACATTTAACTTCAAGTTGTATACTTCAGTCTTCAGTAATAAAGATAGGAGGTCTATCAACCTATGTTAATCCTTGCAGTTTGTAATACTATGGAAATTGAGTTAAGTAACTGTTTTGATCGTAAATTACGCATCAAAACTACTGTTTACACTTTAATTGCATCTACCCCAGTTAAAGTGATATTGTATTGAGTTTTTCGATTTTGCTTCTGTGTATTTATTGCATCGAAGCATACTTGGTCGACTTTTACTTGGTTTATTTAGTTAAGGTTTGAAAATCCTTTTACATATCCTGTTTTTGTCACCGTTCTAGTTGATTTTCAAGATGGCTAGGTCTACTCATAAATGTGGACAACCATACTGCTTATTTCCCGTGGATGAAGGGATGCAATGTGATGAGTGTAATAAGTGGTTCCATAAGATGTGCACCCGATTAAGCCCCACTGCATATAAAAGGTGTTCAAAGCCCAACTCTCATTGGCTTTGTAGTTTTTGTTGCTCGAGCAAAACATTGCTTATCCAGGAAGCAATTAGTCTCCTGGTGTTGGCTAATAAGAAGGTTGATGAGGGCTGTACTGATAACATTGGTACGGATGGCGAAGATTGCGTTAGTGTCGTAAGTGCTATCACGGCGCAAGCCAGACATCTACCTGTGCAACCCACAGTTAAACGTTCTCCCCCGAAACGATCAGTGAGTGACACGTCATTAGACGTTGGTGGCCATATTGCTACAGCAGCAACCGGTGACCCAGATAAAACAATTACTGTCCCGAGTTGTTCTAATGTAGACGTTTCGACTGATGGAAAATGGATGACGCGAAAACGCAGAAGAGTAGGAAAGATAGCTAAAACTAATGACTGTTTACTTGGTAAGTCCTTGGTGGACTCTCAGACCAATCCGCCAAAGTCCCATAGTAAAGCTTCGTCTGACATTGTTGTGAGTCATTCGCTTGACTCCCAGGACTCTGTTAAAATAAAAACTAATCGTAAGCTACCAGTAGTTAAAATACAGGATCTAACGTCACGGTCGAAAGCTGTGAACACAGTTTCAAAAGAAGCTAAACCCATCCCTAGTTTAATTATTTGGAATCTAGAGGAGTCGAAAGACAACGA